AAGACCTAACAATACACAAGTGTGCATCGTTTATTTATTATTTTTTTTCATTTTAATTTATTTTCCCATGTATTTAATTTATATAAATTGTATTTATTCAATAATTTGCATATTTTTGCATATTTTCCAAAATTTTACTTCATATTATATCTCATATTTTGATGTTTTCATCGCATATGTATGCCTGTGTTTGAGTACTTTTTAGCACATATAGTTCCGAACCTTACTTATAAATATCCACTAGAGTGCAGTTACGTTGTTGTTGTAATAATCAATTTTCTGATTATTCTAAATTCTGAATTAAGTTTTCCGAGGAATAATTAAATACTCAATTATTTTATCGTTTTACAGGTTAAGTGATACATCGATAACTATAATGCGAGTTTGTCTCTAAAAATATTTTAATCGAGATAAATATACGTGTTAATAAAAATCAAACATTAATATTTTTAACGTGGTCTCGTACCGAGTATGGATGTTACTCTACGCAGTTTTAAACTTATTACCTTTATCGATTTATGAGTGTGGCATTTTCGCGACAAAATATTATCAAAAACATAAGATAATTAATGTTATTGTAGAATGACAGTGTTTATATTTTACAAAATGTAATTTATACATTTGGTACCTTAGAATGATATGCTAACAAAACTATCCTCAATTATATTAGTATGCAACGTATGTTATTTATGCAAATTAAATAATAATATTGTTTGCAATACTATTTCAACAAATATGTACACATAGACAATCAAAAAGACAGTAAAATAATAAATGATTATTTTTAAATATAGACATTAAATATTTTTAAAACATTAATTCCTACGCCGAACATTATCAACTCGGAAAATAATTCGAAATTATCTTACTCTCCCAACAGTAGTATAAATAATTTATATATACGAAAAAATGTATAAAATACTTATTGGTAAAATGTATGTAAAAAATATCAATGCACGTAAGCAAAGTCGAAAGCGTACGAACACGAAATATTAATTATTGTGTCATAGGACCGTTTTGTACCAACTCTACATAAGTACAACTACATAATTACATGGTCAATTAAATTGGAGTATTACAAAATATCACCAATTATTTCATTTCATTTTAATAGTACACTAACAAATTTTATAACCTCCAATGCCTCGGGTAAGTTTGAAGAAAATGTGATAAATTTTAATATTTTCTCATAAAAACGCTGATAGAGCTTCAACGAATCTGAACGTGTCTTTATTTCGTTACGTTAATGTACGCGTTACAGTTTATGGCAATGTTTATTTCACTTAATTCAAAACAAACAATCATGGTTTCATTATTATTATTATTATTATTAAGATAGTTTTAGTGTGAAGTTTTTAATGAATAGCCTTGCGTCTCTATATTATGTTGTACCAGTTTACTACGTTTCGATCGTACAAATTAACACCGCCGCCCTCTTTGTATAAAAATGATTATTGTTTAAATAATATCATCGAATTAAAAATGCAAAAAAAAAATCATCAGTAGAACCATTGTATTAAACATAGTGTGATTCCATTGCTGTGAATTACTCATATGAGTATGTACTCAATATTTTTCTGTCGTAATAATAATGTGTTCAAGAACAAAAAATATATGGGTTTATAATATATCATTAATTGCACTACAAGAGAATATGTGTATAATTTTTTAATAAAAATCGTTCATAAAATTCTTATATTCACTTCGACGGATAAAAAAGCGAGTCTGCGCTCACAATTATTTTTAGTGTTTTCAACGCATACTTTAGACAGCTACGGTGTACACCTAGATTTTTTTTAAATTTTTATTTGTATTACATACAATCTATAAATAAAATTTTACAATAAGCAAGTTTGAGGATTTACACTGTATAATGACTTGAGTGAAATAACGATGCAATCACCCAGCGACAGCATTTACTGGATATTGTTATTATGCATTATATCATTAGTTAAATTAAATTTACTATATATACAAATAACGTCTACGATCGCTGATCATCAATATAATTAACCGGGAGGCTATTGTTGGCTAAAAAACATATGTCTTCAACTAATGTCTTTATGTATTTAAAACATAATATTATATAGTTTCTTATATACTTTTGGAATATAATTATGTATAGTTATTTATTTTACAATGATCAAACTAATTTGATTATTATCGTAAACCAGTTATAACTTTTATTGTGTCAACAAATTGTCATTAATTACTGTTGAAGGATGCGCACCCGATAGTCGTTAGATCTTATAGTCGATAGATCCTTGAAAGAAAGTTAATTTATCCTTAAACCTTGACCGAGTTCAAAGCCATTTTTTATTGGTGTGTATGTATAAAGTATCCAATCAATGTTTACTATAACTAGTTTTTTCATGCCGTTCAATAATCTTTATCAATATAATTGCGTTAGCAATTTTCCCAAAGTATGTCCACAATCAAACATAATGGAGACATAATGAAGTATCAATGTAATCAGTAATAAATTAAAAATATGTATTTTATATAATTTAAATATGTAGTATGATATTTATCAGAGATGAATCTAGTTTGATAAAACGAAGAGGAAAATGTTTATGATAAATTAACATATTTT